TGATCTACCTTCCAAACAGAGAATTCTGGAAGTCAAGATTTTATATCTTTGGAGTTTCACATCTCATGCCTTTCAAATTTTATTTCAATCGGAGGCCATTTAAAACTAATAAAATAAATATACGGTAGTCAGTTGCCAATCAAAATAAAAACCATCTTAAAAATCATTTTTAAAAACAATGAAGAATAAATAATTGTACATGAAATGTATATTAATATTAAAACATGGATAGAGCTTTTTGTGATATATACATAGATACATAATATAAACGTTTTAGATACTGATTTCTTGTATCAGAATCTAGTGGCGTAAACGAAGTATATGTATTTATACCTCATCTGTGCTGAAAATATACAATTGACAACACTGTAAAAGATATCATTTTCTTGAACCAAGTTGTATCATTTTGTTTGACGTAGTTCTCTAATTCACCGTAGTTTAAGCGTAGAGGACGCTAAAAAACCAGTGATTTTTTCCTGGTCGGTATTTCAGAACTTGGGACACGAAACTCCATTTGATGTCTGGTCTATGCAAATTAGTCAATGGTAAAACCAATGACTACATAAATTCTCTGAACACTACTGTGTCGAAAAATTTGGTACGGCTGAGACGCTCGTTGTTCAATTTGCATATACATATATACGTTCGCGGTAAAAAGATACGTATTGCGTGTCAGGCACGATAGTTAATCAGAATGGTTTGTATTTTTATGTATTTTCTTTGACTTGTTTCGTATTATTTTGTTGAAATATTTCAAAATATATTTAGAAAATAGTGGCAATAAAAGACGTATTTATGTATTATACATATTTTCAGGCATCTTATTCGGAGGATCAGTTAGCAGGTAAGTAAATGTGAATGAGATCATTGACATCAAGCAAAATAAGATTAAAGAAGGGCGGACAGATGGTTCTCGATGTTCAATTTAGGTCAAGAATATCCTTTACCTTATTAGACCCACCCTGGTGACATCGAATTACGTGTCGTTGATTTCCTTTTATGGTTAGGTATCTGAAAGAAATAGCAGCAGAAAAGAAGAAACGATGACAGAACACGAATAGCATTGCATCGTAACGATCGTAGAACGTTTATATTCAGTTTTAACTCGTTTTCTGAATGTAGTTTTGTTGTTACATTTGTGTAATAGGCAATATACATTTATATAGATATATATACATATATTGTGCTACAAACTTCAAGATTTATTGATATTTTTCTCTGTATTGTTATTTTTACCTAATATAAAAATACAATATACAATATTTAATATATATTTTTTAAAATTTTACGTATACTTGTTGTAATTACCATTGTTCGTTACTTTATCTTTTAAAAGGTGAAATCTGATTATTTAATATAACTTAAATATATGTAAATACATATTTAAACTACACAATGTACGGTTGTAGTTATCAAGAGCTAACAAACAGAATGATGTCATCAATTGAGGGTAAATAAATGTATTGTTCATAAAAATTATCACATTTTAGACTAAAATAAATACTTTCCAACTCATTTACACATATTTGTAAAAAATATGAGTTTGTAACGATTATTTGTATTTTTTTTAATGTAACAGAATTTCAAGAGGCATTTCAACTGTTTGATAGTCGAGGAGATGGAAAAATTCATGTAGCTCAAATTGGTGATGCGTTGCGTGCTCTAGGGCAAAATCCAACTGAATCAGATGTCAAGAAATTTACCCATCAGCACAAACCTGATGAACGCATTAGTTTTGAAGTGTTTCTACCAATTTATCAAGCTATAAGCAAATCTCGTACGTCTGATACTGCTGATGATTTTATAGAAGGGTTACGTCATTTTGACAAAGATGGAAATGGTTTCATTTCTTCTGCTGAACTGAGACATCTTCTAACTACATTGGGTATGCATAATCTTTTAACACTCTTTTTTAGTAATTATTTAATGTATAGTTGTATTTATGGACTAATTAATTATTTGTGTTTTTTTTTATAGGTGAGAAACTCAGTGATGAAGAAGTTGAAACTTTACTGGCTGGTCATGAAGATTCACAGGGTAACATTAATTATGAAGATTTTGTTCGACAAGTGATGTGTGGTTAAATTTCTATTTTATTAGATACAAATAATTACCAATCAGAAAAATTTGTATCTGTCATAAAGTATCTTACAAGCATTTAATTTTTTTGATTTATTTGTATTTTGTTACTATTCAATACTATTTAAATTTATATATAATAGATATCCCAATATGATGCTTTTATTAGAAGTGTAGAATAACATTAGTCTCCTTCTACTTGTTTATATAGTATAATGAGTATATTGTGCCTTGATGTAAAAGATTCATAAAAAGGAATATTCAAAATTGAAACTAAAAACTTTAAATGAAATTTAAAGATTTCAGTCATCCTATGAATTTTTTAATTTATGTATTAATTAAGTAATTATCTTTAATAGCAATTGTCATTAGTTTTACACATAGACACATTATTTGAAGTTTACAAATCCCTGTTATTTTCAAAAATGTTACTTATGGAAAAAATTGTGTACTTATGGAAATAAAATTTGTTAAAAGTGAAACTCAAAGTTAAAATTCAGATTATCTTCATTTGTTTGTCTGAAGTAAAAAATAGCTTATGTTTTTTTCAAATTCCTCTATAGGCATGTTATTTCTGAGAAATATTAAGAGAGTTAATTTTAGTTCTACTTTTTAAATAATTAATTATTTTTTTCTTTCAATGTCGTAAATATTAGTCAATATTAATGAATAAAAATGTTAAATTGTCCTGAATGCTTATGAAAATTTATTATTATGTGAACAGATAGTCTAGTAAAAAGTAAAATCGATTTAATCGAATCGATACATATCGAATCGAAACGGATTGGGTCAGTCGATATTTAAGAAGGAGAGCTTCAGTTCGTTTCATTCGCCTGAGTAGTACGTTTGTCTTGGTGTGTTGGTGATTCTAGGATAATTCTTATCGGACAGTAATCGCTGGTCTAGCGAATATTTTGTTGTGTAAAAGTCATATGATAACCGTCAAAATTTTACGAAGAAAGAAGTATGAATATTAATTCCAGTTTACCATTAAGTAATTGTGAAAGTACTAAAAAGGGCATAATAATGCCAAGTTTAATATCCAGTCATTGGTAAGTGCGACTACTGCGCCATTTCTGCTTTTAATTCGTCATCGCCATCTTATATTCTATTTGTTGAAATTTGTGTTTTCATTGCTATTTTCCTTAAACAGGCGCTTTTCACGAAACCCTGTCCGTTAATAGTATAATTATTTTCCTCTCTGTATGAATATTCGAACATTCGGAATATTTCGAAACAATGAAATCGATAATTCGCATTACCTTTCAATTCTATCGTTCACCTTGATAATAGGAAAAATCAGATACATGTGTTCGTAATCAGCTTTGTGTTCTCTTTGATGTTGAAAATATTTATAAACAATATACATACATTAGATATGATATCGTGGATTAAATTGATACGGCAAAAGTATAAGACACCAGATATAAAATCTAAGATAAAAATTGAATAATATAATGAAACAAAAATGAAATGATATTTTAATGATAATACATAATGTGATACATAAATATACTGGCCACGTGAATCGTGAATATCCATCGTGACGTAGAATTGGCATGAATGCGTCGATACATTGTATGCGTCAGCTGTTTCTTTTATATATACGTATAAACATATAAAAAATCTAATGAATGTTACAATTTAAATCTCTGTTTGAAAGGCAAATTCTTCTTTTCTTTGAATGAAAAATGAATGAAGAATGAAAAAGAATGCATTGATATTAGAACAATTTTTGCTAATTGGCAGTGTCGTAAATACTTGGTACAAATTGTTAGATTGAAGCGGAAATAATTGTGCGTTAGCTATATATGTGTAATATATAGACAAACTATAGAGATTTCTTACATAATTCTCATTGTACATCAGATAACAAGTTGGCACGTGTGGAATAAATTCATGATATAGTCTAATTTCCAATATTGGATCGCTGGTTGGAGAAGAGAATCGTTGTCAAAACAATTTTATTTCAACGGTGTTAATAAAATATAATATGATAGTTGATTGTTCATTTTACGCATGAGAAAACTAACGTGAAATTATTCGTTTCCTTGAAATGGCTATTGCATTATTGTTTTGCGTATCCATGTAAAAGATAGCCGTTCGTATCGAAATTGAACAAAGAAACGAAATGCATCTCTATGAATCTTTATAAATCTTTATGAATATGTACATGTGTAGAGTTTTTATGCAATTACAGGTCTAAACAAAAATATCCACGGTGCGATTTTATCGTGCTTTTTCCTTCCTTTTTTCTCGTTTCACAATTGCGCAGATAAACTTGATTGCGCCTCGTAGATGCTTGTTGATAACTTATCTTCAATAAATATTTGAGGTTTAAATTTGCAAGCATGTACGTACGAGCTTGATCATATCTTTAAGATCGAGAAATTTCTATGATGTCATCTCTATACTGTACTACTTGAAAAGTATTCTTCTATCACTAATATCAATCATTCTTTTGTTACCTTTGTTATAATTAATTATTTTATAATACATT